ATTATTTCCAATTAGTAACTATAATGCTTTCGTTTGTCTCTACTTAAAAAAAAAAATGGATGGAAATTTTTTTTTTAAAAATGTTTCAAAAGAAAAGAAAAAAAAAATTTTTTTTTTTACATGAATGAGGTTAAAGGCTGTGTGACAAGCAAAATATTTCCAACGTCTCTTTTTCTCTCTCTCTACGCACACGTTTTTTGCTAGAGTCCGAAATAATAATAAAAAAAAAAAAAAAAAGATGAAAAACTGATGAAATTTTCAATTTTTTTTTTTTTTTTTTGATAAAATCTCAACCCTGCTCAACGTCTGCTTGATTCTGATTGACATTTGAAGTTCCAGCAGCTTCTTTTTGGTTTTTTTCTACTAATTTTAATCTTTTTTGCCTTTCTGAAAATAAAATATATAAATTTATCAACAAATTTTTTAAAAACCGTTACGAAAAAAAAAATGCTGTCGTCGATCATTAAAAAAAAAAAAGAGGAAAAAATTTACGAAAATTATTAAATTCATTTTTTTTTTTAAATAAAATTTTCGAATGTTTACGACGAAGCAAAGAAGAAAGAGAGAGAGAGAGAAAAGGGATTTATATTATTTAAAAATAAACGTCCTAAATACACATAAATGAAGTAAATAATTATTATTTATTCGAGGGTTGGGGGAAAGGTTGGGCCAAAAGAAAAAAAAAATCTAAATTTAACTTTTTTTTCCTTCTCACTTTTTTGTCTACGTCATACAACAACCCGCGTAATTTTTTTTTTAAGGTAATAAAAATCGAAACTGACCTCTTACAAACAAATTTAAAGGGGTCAATTTCAAATAAATTTACGTAATTTTAAAATCGTTAAAAGTACAAAAAAAAAAAAAAAATTTTGTATTAATAAAATGGATTTACTCGAAAGTTTATACATGATAACTCCCCACCAAATACTCCATCCCCATCCGACCAAGCAGAAGATAATTGTAAATGCTTGAGCTATTCCAATTATAATATTTATAACGAATGATTTAAGACGATTTCTTGAATTATCCGTCGTTGAAAATCTCGGTTTACCAAAACATAAACAAAGGACACCACTTATGAGCGTACCTGAAAAAAAAACATTTTTTTTTCCAATTATCCTCCTCCTCCTTCTTCCCGATAAAATAAAAAAAATGTGGGAGGAGGGGGGGTTAATGAGAACCTTCTCCTAATAATAAAACAAACTGGATTTTTGACATAAATAAAATAAAATAAAATTTGACTTTTATTAACGTGTTGAAAAATTCATCGTTCCTGTTGGCAACAAAAAAAAAAAAAAAAAACGATTTTCTTTATATATATAGTGTAATTAAAAGTTTCGTTACCTGACATTTTCTTTTTTTTCCAACCGTAATTTTTACTCCGTTATGGGATTTTTAATAATAATAATAATAATAATAATAATAATAATAATAATAATAATAATAATCACGATACCCGTTACATTTAATTTTTTGCGTAAAGAAAATTTTATTTTTATTTTTTTTTTTAATTATAATTTACGATTAATAAATATCATTAATAGTTTTTTTTCTTTTTCTTTTTTTTTATGAATTTCAAATATCAACTAGTAAAAAAAATAATATTATTATTATCATTATCATATATTACTAAAATAAATTTTTTTTTATCGGGGTGAGCGGTTAACATTGAAAAATTTTTAAATAAATTAATATATATATATATATATATATATATATATATATATATATATATATATTAACGTCTTTAAATAAATAAATAAGTACGAATTTTTTTTTAACAATTCATACTGATTACGGTCCTGAAAAAGAAAAGAAAAAAATTTTTTTTTTTCGTTTCATTTTAATTTAAACGATAAATCAAAAATTTATATAAAAGATTTTTTTTAAAAAAAAAAAAATTTGCCAATAAAATTATTAAAGATGGTTTTTTTTTTTTATAATATAATTTATTATTCTCCTTTTCTTCTCTTCATTTTTTTTTTTTTTATATCACTTTATTCCGGTTGGGATAAAACGTTTCGTTATAATAATAATAATAATAATTTTTTGTTTGTTTATGTAAAAACATAAAAGACTTACCTAAACCTGGAATAAATATGTTACAAATAAAACAAAAAATTGCTAAACATGGTGGAAGCACTGGAATAGCAGCTTTCATTTTAGAAGCGGGATCAACCAATGCAACATCTAATTGGTCTTTTCCCTAAAAAAAAAAAAAAACAATAATAATAATCATAATAATAATAATATATGTACGATATACGTACGTATCGAAATTATCAACGGAAAATTATTAAAAACTATTAAAAAAAAATTATTTGCGTGACTTTTTGTAAAAAAAAAAAAAAAAAAATCGGTTATTATACAAAGAAACAAAAAAAAAGAAAAAAACCTTGACTAATTTTCAAAAAAAGGAATTTATGCAAGGATAAAAACAAAACAACAACAAAACTCATGACGCATTTAAAATTTAACTGGGAAAAAAAAAAAATTCACGATTTCAATCCTTCATTCTTTATAAATAAAAAAAAATTTTTAAAAAGTTATTATTATTATCATTTATAAACACGACCGTTTATTATTATTATTATTATTATTATTATTAATATTCAACCCCTTTTTATAAATAATCATTTACTAAAATACGATTAGCCACTTTAAAAATAAATAATAATAATATTTATTATAGTTTTGAATTAATCAATCAATCAATCATGATATAAAAAGTTTAGAAAGGGAAAAAAATGAAAGGTTAATAAGTAAATAAATGGGTTGTTTAATAATTTAATATTAGGATCCCCTTTTAAAAAGAAGGGGGATGAAGGAGGGGTGGGAAAAATAAATAAGTAATAAAATAATCAAAAACGTTGTCGGATGTTTAAAAATGACGTAATAAACTTTTTTTTTTTGTTAAATAAATTAAATATTTTTTTTTTATCAATTAATAATGTAATAAAAATAAACAACCCTTATGTCAACGTAGAATAAAGGACTCAATAAAAAAATAATCGTAAAATTTTTTTGAAGAAAGAAATTTAATTTTTTTACATCCCTTAATTTTTTTTAACAGGAACAAAAACTCCCTTTACTGCACAAAATAATTAAGAGTCTAATTGCGGAAAAATAATAAATTAAAATAAAAGAAAGGTAAAAAGTTTTCTTTTTTTACTTAAGGTTGCGTACACGAGCCCTTAGCCTACCTACCCTCTCACGTCACTGAATTTAATTAATGACCTTCGCGTAAAAAAAAAAAAAATAAAACGTCACGAAAAAATAATAAATAAAATAATGGCGTAAAATTTCTTCCTTTTTTTTTTTTATAATTGGTTTTACATAAAATCAAAAATTATCGAAGAAAGAGGAGAAGGAGGAAAAGTGTAATTAGAAAAAAAAAATAATAAACATTTGTAAAAATTATTCTAAAATAAAATTAAGGAAAAAAATAATAATAACGAACCAAAGTTAAAAAGAGTGTGAGAGAAAGAGAATAAAAATAAAATGAGGGATTGTGGTTGGGTCGCAATAAGCTAAATGGCGGAGGAGGAAAGAAGTAAAAAACTTTATCCCACAGCGGAAACTTTTCCGAAAGATTATGACTACTTCACTCAGGAAAAACTTATAAAATATTGTAAAAGATAAAAATACAACTTTTATATCATTTCTCAGTTTAAAAAAAAAAAAAAAAAGAAAAAACAAAAAAAAAAGAAAAAAAAATGGCCGAGCAATGAAAAATTACACAAAGATTTAAATTTAAATTTAAATTTCTAGGTAGAAAAAGAAGAAGAAAAACACACAAAAAAAAGAAAAACGCGCGTCGTAATTATAAGTAAAACTATTCGCACGACGTTTAACAAATGATAAAAACAATAATTTTAAAATGCGAAAAATAAAATCCTCCTCAGCCTTTTTAAATATTAAATAATATTTATTGTGGAAAAAGTTTTTTTCTTTTTTTTATTTTTATTTTTTCGCGTTTGTTACGCGCGTTTTTTTAAAATTTAAATAAACGCGCGCGATTTATGATAATAAAATTCATTTATTTTCATAAATTTTTTTCTAAACGAGGATATTCGGATAAAATTATCAATCAAATTCTTATTTAAGGATAATTAATTAAGTTTTGTTGACATTTTATTTTCATCATCATTATCATTTTAATTGTTTTAAATTTTATTTAATTAAATATAAATTAAAAATACTATTTCGTTATTAATAGAAACACACAATTACTTATCATTCTAATTCGAAACGATCCCTGATAACAACGAATTATCATTATCAACAAACGATAAAAAAGTTTTATTTTATTAATTTTAAGTCACTTTTTTTTTTAAATTCATTTCTTTCCTTCCCATTTCCCTCTCTCCCTCCCTACTTCTATCCTCCTCTCCGCTCATTCGAATAATTTTTATGTCAGGTCAAAGTTCACGAACCAAATAAAAAAAAAAAAATTAAATTAAGTCATGGATTTCAATCGAGAAGAGTTGGTCGATTGACCGGATATCGTAGAATATTTAAAAAACAAGTATCCGGATTAAAATTTTCCTCATTGAATGCGACCTTTTCAACCTTTTTATAAAGGGGGGGGGGTGGTTTACATTCGTGATTTAACGATAAATCAAATCATGACTTTTAAAAACTACTTATTGGCAATTTGAACGAACGTACGGGTTACCGGGTCAAGTTTTTTTCTTTTTCGGTGAGACGAGGCGGGGGGCGGAGGGCGAGGAGAGGCGTAAGCATGAAAATTCCCACCGCTTTTCTTAAATCAAATAAATGAATGAGATGCTCGTAATTTTCTTAGAATAATAATAACAATCGTTTTAATTTATCGTTTGTCGTATCGTAAAAACCTTTTCCCTCGTTCGTAATAATTTTTATAAATTGAATAAAAATTAAGTCGCATAACAATAATAATAATTATTATTATTATTAGTTGATGAATGAGAGCGTATCTCTTCCTTCCTCTTTCTCTTTCTTATTTCATTTACCGTATTTCTTATTTCAACATAAAATAAGATAATAAAAGACGACAACAAAAACAAACCGGTGGTATTTAATATGTTTTTTTTTGTTATAATAAAATATATATTTATTCTCTGGGGGTAAATGAGAATGTTATAATAACAAGACTAAAAATTTAACTAAACTTTTTTAGATATAAAATCTATAAATATATTTTATCAGATACATTTTCTAACTTATCTACTTGTTTTTTTTTTTTTTTATATATATTATACGCCATTATTTTCATCAGGAGGTTTTCTTTTGAATAGATTATTATGATATTAGGTTGTAAAATTTCATATAAAGTTAAATTTTTGACTTGAAAAAGAAAATTTTACAACAAAAGAAAATTTCAAGAAGGGGCGGGCAAAGAGAAGAGGAGGAAAATGGTCTTTGTAATGTCTATCTGACCTAAAGCCAGTTAACGTTAACATTGTTATTGTTTATGAATCAAATAAGAAAAAAAATTTTTTTTTTTTGGGGAGGTTTAGTTACTCAGGTAAAATGTAATAATAAAATTTCTTAAAACATGTCGAACAAAACAAAACCGAAAAACGTGGAGGGTGGGGTGGGGGACGGTTTGATATTTGTTTATTTTATAAGAATTCGTTGGGTTTTTTTCATATTAAACAAAAAGAAGAAGAAATTTTGAATAAAAAAAAAAAAATTATTATTATAAGCTTACCCTAGACGTATTGGAAGTTCTACTATCTAATTTCATGAGTTTTTTCGGATCCGTTTTAGCATAAGGATTGCAGCAGCTGCAGAATCCGTTTGACTGGCAGCACTGAAATTTGTGACAGCATTTGCATTTTTTTAATATATTTTGGCAACACGTTAAATTTAAACAGAACAAACATCTGCAAAAACTGTTTATTTTATCCCGGAAGACCAGACAACAATTCTGGCAATTGCATATTGGTTTGGCACAACATTTCCTTTTAGATTTTATATCGATTGAATTTTTCCTTTTCGGCTGTTGTTGTTGTTGTTTTTTAGAACAGCATCGACTTCTCTTACAACAAGTTAGGCACTTAAATGGATTTATTGGACAACAACAACAACAACTACCATTAGATGAATTTGTTTTATCAATGGAAGGCTCTTTGATTTTTTTTTCCTTCGATTTTCCTTTACAACATGGTAAACATTTACAACATTTACAACAGAACATATATCCGAAAAATCTGCAAACGGCTAATAAAAATCTTCGAAATTTTCCTTGTTTTGGTATCACTTGAGCAGGTACGTCACCATTCGGCATTCTGGAAAAACAAAAAAAAAAACAAAATTTTCTTTTTTCATTCGTAAAAAGTTAACAAAAAAAAATTTTTTTTCTTTTTTCATCTTATCACCGCTTTTAAATCTTTCTACAAAATTTCACTCTTTCTTTTTCAACTCTCTCTCTATCTCTATCTCTCTCTTTTATTTTTTTTTCTTTACTTTTATAACATTTTCATCGTAAATAATTTTTATTAAAATAAAAAAAAAAAAAAAAATTTATAAAGTTCTAGATGAAAAGTTTTTTTTTTTAAAGTTTTCAAAAAAAAAAAAAAAGTTTACTGCGGGGTTTAAAAATCAGATTTGGTTTTTCTTTCAGACTTTTAACAGACTAGTTTTAGGTTTGTTTTTAAGAAAAACAAGAAAAAGAAGAAGAAGAAGAAAAAGATAGGATGTTATGAAATAAATAAAAAATAGATAAAATAAAAACAAAAAAAAAAGGAAAAGAAGATAAAATGAAAAATATTTTATTTTAATTTATTAATGACCCAAATTTCTTTATTTTTTCATTATAAAACCTTTACTCACGCGCACACACCTCCCCCCCACACGCCCACGCACACCCACACGCCCAAACACCCAAACACACACCCACGCACACACACACACACACACATACATATTTTTAATTATTCAAAGGGGAAAATTTTTTTTTTTTTATCTCCTTAAGTTATTACACTGGTCTGTTATTTTAAATAATAATAATAATAATTTATGGAGTTGACAACCTTTTGTGTTGAGAAAAGGTTTTTATAATTTATTATTTAAATGGAAAATTATTATAAAAAGACTTGTTCGATATAGAATTAGGAAATTCCACCATGCATGCATATAAGAAAGTAAAAGAAAATTTTTGGATCCGTTTCAAAATGACAGGGAAATTATTTATAAAAAAAAAAAAAAAAAACATTCAGTTTAGAAAAGTTTTAAGTAGGCAATTAATTTAATTAATTGTTATTATTATTATTATTATTATTATGCTACCTTATACCGTATATATTTTTTTTTCAGTATATATACATATCGGATTACATTATATATATATATATTTTTCACTACTCTTATCATATTAATACTAGTATAAATTTCTTTTTTTTTTGGAAACCGAATCCTTTTGTTCGTACGTAAACGATTTAAAATTTAAAATTAAAACTCATACTTTGTTATAATTATTATTATTATTATTCATTTACACGATCATCAATATTATTATTATTATTATTATTATTATTATTATTATTATTATTATTATTATTATTATTATTAATATTTTGTTTCGTTCGGAAAAATATAGAAAAGAAAATTTTCCCATATTTTTTATAATATATTAACGTGACCCAAACACTTGAGAAATGACCACCAACACCCCCACTCCCACCGCCGCCACCACCACCGAAAGGGATAATTTGCATTTAAAGTCACGCATCGGTCGATTCATTCTTTTTCTTATATAAAAATCGATTTTTTTCGGAGGGGAAGGGGATGGGGGTGGGGAAAAAGGAGGAAAAGGGGAAAATTTTTTTAAATACCTTCTATTCCCCCACGTTTTTCTTTTGGAATTTTTTTTGATTTTCTTTTATTCCAGTTTAATTTTTTTTTTTTTTTTTTTCATTTCTCCAATGGGGATAACCCTGGAAGGGAGGGGAAGGAGAAGGGGAAAGTGAGGAGGGAAAAAACCTGAGTAATGTGAAAAGAATTTACATAAATTCAATAATTTTTAACCCTGTTTTCTTCTCCTTTTTCCACCCCTCCTCGACGAAAAAAAAAAAAAAAATTAAGGTTAGTTTTTGGCAACGGAATTTTTTTATCCTAATAATAATAATAACAAATAAATAAATAAATAATTTTTTTTAAAAAAAGCGGGAAAAAAGTTAATAGAAAAAACCGGAAATAAACTTTTTTTCCAATTCGTTTTCTTATTATTTTAATATGAAATAATTGAAAGAAAAATTATTAATGTAAACTACTTATATATTAAAAAGCATTTTCTACAAAAATCAAAAAAAAATGTCATATTATTTATACTATAAATATATATTATTATATTAAAAAAAAAATTTTAATTTCTAATAGTATAAATAAACAAATTTACGCAGAGATTAATAATAATAATTATTATTTATGTGTATATATATCAAATAAATATGGTTTTATATATTAATGATTCGGTAGAAGTCACAAAACGAAAATATCATTCTTAAATCTGGGTTTGCTTTATATTCATATAATATTATTTAAAAAAAAAAATAATAATAATAATAATAATATATGTGACATTTTATATATATTATTTAAATGAAAAACTAATAATTAATTCAACCCGGTTATTTAAGAGATTCTCATACGTGTTTTTATTAAAAAATATGTCAAATAAACACGACTAAAAAAATTAATCCTTCATGTTTGAGGTCACTATAGGATTTTTTTTCCCTTTTTGGGGCACAAAAAAAAGATTTTGGGGAGGTAACCCCCCCCCCTGGGTCAAGGGCCATTTAAATCGATGACCGATTACTTGCTTTCTCCCAACTCACCTTTCTTCATCCCATGCTCCTGGTAAATTCATCGTTTCCATCCTCCCGGGTGAATTTCTTAAATTATTCGGACTAAGAACTTCCATATCCGGTTCCGCTTTGATAACTTTCGTTCCAGATGTTATTTCTCCGGATGATTTTTCTTTAACAAGAATTTTAGTACCGGCTTTAACCATGTTAACGGAATTTTTATCGGCGTCTTTGATGAGGTTATCTTTTTTCAACGATATTACAGAACTCGCTGAGGGTGGTTTTTTTTTTATTAAACTAATATCGGAATCGGTTTCGACTTGTGTTATTTCGTTTTCTTTTCTGGACAAATCCTCGTTTAAAACTACCGTAGAGGAAACTGATTTCATTCCGCTGGATGTAACGGTGGTGGGGGCCGTTGATATCGATTGGGAATTTTGAGTCGAGCTCAAGGCAAGGTCCGCGGAAGTTGATGGTGTGCTGATGGAAGGAGTGATTATGGGCGATGGTGAAGCCATTGTTGGTGGAGCTATGTTACATTTGTCCGGTTGGTAACACGGTACGAGTTTTTCATTTTTTCCCTCATCATCTTTATTCTCTTCCTTCTGAGTGTTTTCTTCATTACTTTTTTTTTTTTCCTCTTTGATATTTTTATCAGGTATTATTTTTAACGGAGATTCGACGGAAGGTTTCGATTTCATTTCTTTTTCTTTTTCTTCATTATCGGCGACACTAATTTCTTCCGTTTTTTTTTGTAAATGATTACTATCATTACCCTCATTATTTTTTTTAATCCTTTCGTTTAATTTTTCTTTTCCAGAAGAAAATGTATTTTTGCTTCTTTTAGACGTCATACTTTTATTATCGTTTGATTTTAATATTGGTTTTAATCCGGTTTTTCTCGGGGGTATCGGTGGTTTTTCAAATTTTTTAACATTTTGATTTTTTTTTTCATGTAAATTCGAATCGTTTTTTTCCGTTTTACTTTTGCTTTTTGGCCTCGGCGAAACCGGACTTAATTTTCTTATTTGCGCATCTTTATAATATTCAATAGGCATTATTTTGTCCGTTTGAGGTAAAACATCTCCATGTTTTTTTGCCATTTCAGGTGTTTTACGCCTATCGCCTGCACTTTTTTTACCACCAACGTTATTTTTCATTATAGTTTTCCCTTGTGATTTTTTAATTTTTTCATTGTTATCAATTATTATTATTTGTTCATTTTCATTATTTAAACTATTCTCTATTATTTTTTGAATTCCTTTGTTTTCCTCATAATTCTCGCCATTGTTTTCTATTTCTCCAATAACTTCGCTATTATCTTCCGTTTTATTAACTTCATTTTTTTCTTCTAAATCATGCGCAATTGTTATATTTTCAACTTCTTCTTTTTCTTCTTCTTCATTATTTTTCATTAAATTACCAACCGTTTGATTTTCCAAACTTTCTGATGTCATATCATTATCAGATTTTTTTGGCAATGCTTTTGAAGTATGTGAAGCATCGTTATTCGTCGGTTGAGATTTAACATTTCTCATGGGTGATTTTGGTGGAAGTCCAGCATATATATTAAACGGTTCTCTGTCGTAAATTGTACTCTTCTTATCACTTTTACCCGATGCTAAACGATTTTGCCTTTTTTTAGGTGATGCACCTGGGGTCGTCGCTCTTGAATTTGGCCTTGATGATTTGGGACTTTTAAATCCGTGTCCACGAAAAGGACTGATTCTTCCCGACGGCGAACCTGGCCTGGATGCTACGGGAGATTTATACGTTTCTCCGAGTATAACAAAGGAAGACGCTTCTCTATTTTTGGCGCTTTTGGGTGCAGTCGCACGATACACCCTTGGAGATACATCCCATGGGAAATCATAATTATCTAGTTCTAGAGGAAGCAAAGTTATAGCAGGTTCGTGGTCTGTATTTTTTTTTTGAAATCCTCTTACTCTTCTTTTAAGGGTATTCGAAGTTGGTAATCCGACATTACGCGACGGATTCATGTTGTTCTCTTCGATTATATCCGATGATTAAATAATTATATTAAGTAAAAAGCTTTTTTTAATTTTTCTTATTGAATTTTGTTGGATTTGTTAAATTCGAAATCACTAAAAAGCAAGTTAAAATTCTTAAGAAATACATGACGCGTTTACACACGAAACGGCCCTCGTTCGATTATTCGGCCACCGCAATCAGCTTTAAACTAAATAACGGATTCACGGCGTCCATTCGCCGGTGTGAAAGCACGAAAATTTTAAAGACTCGGAAAAAGATATTTAAAATACCCAAGTCAAACATAAAGTAACAAAAGTCATTTAAGAATAGGGGGAAAAAAAAAAAACTATTCTGGAGGGAGGAATGATAAGAAATCATGCAAGAAAAAACTTTGCATAGATTTTTTTTTTTTTTTAGAAACGCGGTTGGAAAAAATTAATGGAAATAAGAAAATTGTAAATTTTTTTTGAAATGGTGGGGAAAAAAGGGGAAAAACAAAAAGGCGTGTGAAAGTGGGGAAAGCCTTGGGATTACGTAAAACTAATTCTTTACCCATAAAATTTTCCAATTTGTTTCAATGTAAAACTTTGCCACGAAAGGATTATTTTGCAATTAATATATAAGCAAACGTGTAATAATATAAGCAAAAAATTCTTAAATAAACCTTTTTCCCCCCTTCCCCACCTTTCAACAATTATTATTATTATTATTAAAAAAAATTTATACGTAGGTAATAAATGATTTTAAAAAAACCAACCGAATAACTAATAATAAATTTCTTGTAAATTTTCTATTATTTTCTTTTTTGACTTAAAAACAAAAAACGTTAGCTTTTTTCTTTTTTTTTTCCAAAAAAAAAAAAAATATTTACAACTGCTTTTAGTAAGATGTGGCATTTCCCCTGTTTCCTTTCTTTTAAACCTTTTCCCGTTAACTTTATTTTTCGTTTAATTAATTATTTTTCTTTTTTTTAACTTTAAAAAAAAAAAAAACAAATAACCGAGTTAGTTAAAAGGCACGCCTTACTAACTCTGATTATACTATATTATAACATATTCAGTCTTAAACGAAAAATCCAAAGGTTTATTATAATTTACGTCGTGATAAAAAAAACCTTTTTTATATCGTAAATGATACGAACGGTAAAAAAAAAAATACGCCCTTAATAACAACAACAGCAACAGCAACAAAAAAAAATTTTTTTTTTTTAAATTTTACTCGTAATCGAAACAATAACATGATGACGTGTTAATTTTCTAACGCTATGTATTTGCACAAAATCTTTTAACGTCCTCCCTCCCTTCCTCCCCGCCCCCATAAGAAAATAATAATAATAATATTATTAACTCTGTAGTCAATTATCGCTGACGATATTTTATCATTATTAAATTTTTTTTCTTTTTTTTTATTAAACGAATATAATAATATTAAATAGGAGTAAACAATAGTTGTTGGTTGCTATTGTTTTAAATATACATAATAATAATACGCTAACCATTATTTTAATAATAATAATAATAATAATAAATAAATTTTCGTGCTTGCTAAGGTAGGCATTTATTTTTTATACACCTTTTTTTTTTTTTTCCTTTTTTTGAAGGTCGCATTTATCATCGAATTAAAATAATAGGTGGTATCCCCCCCCCCCGTTGGTTGGTCAATATTATGCTTTTTTTTTGTTTGATTTACGGCCGATTTTTAATAAATTTATCCGGACAACGCCCGAAAAATAATTTTATCTAAAACCACGTTACGAGTTTTCCCCCCTTTTTTCCTTCTTTTTTTGTCAGAAAATTTGTTTTTTAAACATTATTTAAAATCTATCATTAAAAATAATTGAAAAATTAAATATGGCGAAATCTGTGTAAAAAAAAGACAAACAAACAGAACAAACAAAGAAAAAAGATTTTTCTACACACGTACAAATTTATAGTGAAAATTGTTATCAATTTATCATTTCCGGTTTTTTTTTCGCTAGGACAAATCAACAACAAAAAAACCATAATAATAATAATAACGAGAGAAAATTTATAAAGAAAAAAAAGTTTTAATGTCGTTGGGAACGAAAAAAAAATTATTTTAAATATGTCTGCCGCCCGTTTGTCGTTTGTCACATCGAATCCAAACAATTTTATTATTATTATTAAACTCGATCGAATTTTTTCCGTTTAAAATTTATAGATTCGAAATATTCATTTTTTTCGTTTCTCGATTTCAGTCACTTCGAATGATAAATAATTATATAAAAATTCAATTAATGCAAAAAAAAAAAAAAAGAAAAAAAAAAAAACGCCGACATTTATCAAAAGAGAAACAATTCATCATCATCATCATTTCGATGAATTTTTTATTTTTATTTTACTTCGTATTCTTCGGTTCTTCTTGGTAATTTTTTATTTCTTTTTCATTTTCCCAATCCGTCGGGATTTTCAATAAAAAATTACGTTTTAATTTTTTTCCCCCTCCCCCCTTTTTTTTATCATTCGATTCATCATTCATTTTTTCTTTACTTAAATTTCTATGACAAATATCAAATTTTTTACCTTTCGATATATCCGATAAATAATTATTTTTCCTTTCTTCATTTTCCAACGTTGCATTTACGTGTTTTTCCAATATGTTTAAACCTTAAACAATAACAACAACAACCACAAAAAATTATAAAAACTTTTATAAAAACAAAACAAAATTGAAAACAAAACGAAAAAACTCACCGTGATATCTTTTAAGGTATCTACATTTTATGTTAATAATTTCGTGTCTTTCAGGTACGCTGCTTATTTTATTTATTTTTCTTTTTATTAAATCAACGGATGGATCCGCCGATGTATTATTTTTTTCTTTTAATTTTCTCATACCTTTAAATAAATAATTAACAATAAAAATTAATTAATTTCCCGTTTTTGTTTTCTTTTTATCATTATTAATATAAAAAAAAAACATACTGATAACGATTAAAAGGAAAACATATTGTTATAAAACGTAGCTTCGACACACCAACAACAACAACAATCAATAATTTAAAATAATAATAATTAATTAAAATTTAATTGGTTCGGTTAAAATAAAAAAATCATTTATTAATTGTAGACAGAGAGAGAGAAAGGGAGTGAGAGAAAGGGGGGAAAGAAAAAAATTAAATTATCATTATAATAAAAAATTTTCTAAAGAACAAAAGGGGAGGGAAAAAAATTAAATAAATATAAATAAAAAGTATAGGGAAAAAAAAGAGAGAAAAGAGCGAGAGAGAGAGAGAGAGAGAGACAGAGAGAGAAAGAGAGAAGCTAGGGGAAAATTGACTTTAAATTAAAAAAAAAAAGAAAAAAATTTCTTCAAAAAGACTAATCGAGGATGTAAGAATAAGAAAAAGAGAAAAAGAAAAATAAATTGAAAAAATAAAATAAAAATGGAAAATTTGATTTTTTATTAGAATTTTCCTTTTCTCTTTTTTTTTGCATTCAAAAACGAGAAAAAAAAAAAGAAAATTTTTTTTTTAAATAAAACAAAGTGAGAGATAAAAATCGATGAGGAAAATTTTTTTTTTTTTTTTAAAAATTAATCAGGTATATTATTATCACGTCGTCGTATGTACCTGAACTTTTTTTATTTTTAAACAAAAGAAAAAAAAAAAAAAGAGGAAAACTCACTTACTTCTCGCATGTTTATCCTTCCATTTATTAATTTTATAATCGTTTTCTTTTCTTTTTATCTCGTATCATCTTTCCAATTTGTTTATGAGATTATCAGTGAAAATTTTTTTCTCTTCTTTCATTATTTCTCTCGACAAATTTATTCTCTCTTCGTTTATCTCGTTTGTTTTTTTTTCTTTCATGTAAGATTCGACCGTCGAAATTCGATAAATTATAAATTTTCTTATTTTTTCCGTTTCTTTTCCTTTTAATTCGTTAAGTATATTTTCCCACGCGGATTTTTCTCTCGCATGTTTTATCAATATTATATCATCTCGTCCGGGAAGAAAATTATTCTCTGACAACAACAACAACGATAATAAAAAATTAATTTTTTTTATTTCAACGCAAGAAAAAAAAATGTAAATAATAATAATAATAAGTTGTTAACCACCTTCTTTTAAATTTAAAAAATCCAACGATAAATATTCGTTTAATATTTTTTTATCCGCTATAATTTCGTGTCTCCAGGGTAATGTTTGAGTTTCGGATTCTCTATAATCTGTTTGTACGCTTTTCGTAACCGTTTTCGTCGATTTTATTGGTAGTGTTATTATCATTTCTTTTTTTTTTCCTTCCGAATCGTTTGTTTTCGGAAAATTTTTGTTTTCGAAACAAACTACTTTTTTAACATTATCTCCTCTATCGTTTTCTACTAAAGATACTAAAACTTTTGTACAAGTCGATGCAAATCTTGACGAAGGCCTAAAAAAAAAAAAAAAAAAACAAGAAAAAAACAAGAAGAAAAGTTACGTAAACTATTAATTTTTTTTTAAGAAAAACTTACTGTCTATAAAATAAAGTTCGGTGAGATCCTTCAACTTTCATTGTATTTTTTTTATCTTCTATCGATTTCATTTTTTATTTTTTTTCCGAGGAAATTTAAATAAAATTAATGGTTATAAATTTTTCAAAACTTTTTTTTCTTTAACGTGTTGTTGACGTGTAACTTGAGAAACTGTAATAATTTTATTATTATTATTATTATTATAAATAATAAATAATAATAATAATTTTAAAAAAAATTTTATTAATTAGTTAAACAAACAAAAAAAAATTTACCGTTGTTAAAATAAGACCAACAACGTTTGTTAATACAAAAAAAAAAAAAAAAAATTTTCATTGATTAACTTTTCTTAGTAGTCTAGGAAACGGTGAACCTTTTTAAAATAATTTTTTTTCTTTTCATTCCGACGAATTTTTCTCTTTTTTCTCTTATAATATTAAATCAAAACAATAATATAAAAAAATTTTATTATAAATAATAAAAAAAAATTATTGTTTGTTTTTTTTTCATAATAAAAAAAAAAAAAAAATTATCGAGGTCATGGAACCCAAAATAATAATAATAAAAAATTTTAATTGGTAATTTCCGGGGCTAATAAAAAAAAAAAAAAAAAAAAAAAAAAATTTTCTTTTTTTTTTATAAAGATACAAAAAAAAAAAATTTTTTAATAGCAATTTACACCAAAACAAAAAAATTTTCTTTTTTTCATTTTTCATTTTTGAAAATTAACTTTTAATAAATAATAACAAAAAAAATTTATCGATTTCCTTTCATTTCCCCCCCCCTACCCTTATTTTATCAACCCCGTAACATCGTGTAACCGTTACATTGTTAATAAATACATAAATTTTTTTATTTAATTATTTTTTAATACATTAGAATGAAATTTTATTTTTAAAAAAAAAAAATCATAAAATTATTTTAAACCTTTAAAAATCAAGTTTAGCAATTTTTTTTTTTTTAATAAATAAATCTATTTATTAACTCGTTCAATCTTAGGCAAAACTTTACGGAAGTATAAACACTTGTTTACATGTGTAAATAAATTTCAAAATTAATTTATAATTCAAATTATTGTCTTTATTTTAACTATAAAAAAAAAATTTTTATTTTTTTTTAATCCAATCGGAAAAACTTGGATTTTCTTTCACATATAAGCTCCATCGTAAACAATTTTCGTAACCTACAGTTTGAGAGAGAGAAGAGAAAAAAAAAAAAAAAAAAATCCGTCTCTCGAATATTCGATTAAGTGAATAAACAAACACATTCTTCAGCCACGTAACAATTCGTATAAAAAAAAATTATTATTATTTACTTTTAGAGGAAGACCCCTTTTTGACATTTTTAAGTCAAGTTTTGGTATATATATAAATTTTCATCAACATTGTGATTATTATTATTATAATGGCAACCGTATATTATTATGATTATTTTTTTCGAACGACCGTACGAGCGTTTGGTGGCGGTCCGACACGTTCCGTCCTCACGAGTTTTTATATTTATAAACAATTATTATTAATTTTTCTACTAAAAAAAAAAATTTTTTGCCGTCTTTTTTTTTTTTTTTAAACCGTTCGCACGTTGCCTCTTCTTGCCGTTGACCCGAGATTCCTTAAATTTAATTTAAAAACGCGCTGAAACTCCAAAAACTATAAAACGTTTAATTTAAATTCACTATTATTTCACTAAACCCAATTTTTTAGCTTCTATTTCATAAATTAAAAGTCTCCACATTTTAACGACGAAAACTTCCGCTTCTTCGTCTAAAACCTGAAATTTTAAAATGATTTTCAAATGTAATTGAAAAATACAATTTTCATACGTGACGTCGTCAGAGAAAAAAATAAAATATAAAAGACTCACCATTTGAACATCGTCTAATATTCCCTGAGGTTGACTCCCTGCTAATACTTTGGAACAAATGAAATCCACTAATGTCGGTTCGGGTTCTCCGATATATTCAATTATTTTCTTATTGATCCACGGTCTTATTCTCCTTTCCATTAATTGCTAAAATTTTTTTTAAAACAAAAAAAAAAGATGCATCAATTCTACTAAACTTTTACATTTATACTCATCAGTAAATCGTTTTGCATCGGACTTACATTATCTACAGCTCCCCAGTCTATATTAAATGCGAATAAAGCGTTTTTGTCTGTTGGAATTTTATCTATGAGGGATTTTATGTGTTTCCTTTTTTCTTCTTGCGATTTGGAAACCTCTTCTTTCTTGTCGTCTTTTTTGTCTTTTTTCTTATGCTCCCGCTCTTTGTCTTTTTCTTTGTCTTCGTTATAGTCTACAAAAAAAAATTTTAAATTAATGGAATCTCAAGTGAATATCCTTTAAAAAATGTTGAGTCATTGTGCACACACCTAAAGGTACCAATTTCCTTTTCTTCCCTGATCCTAAATTACTATTTTCGTCGTCATCATTATTAAAAACTTCTTTGACGTCGAGTTTTTTTCTCTTTCCCGATCCGGGACTTTTACTTTTCCGTCTGTCTTCCGTGTTTTCAATGTTGTCGTTCAAATGATCCGAACCCTCTTCGCTTTTTTCTTCCTCTTCTTTAGGCTTTTCCGGTGACGTCGTCTCGTTTTCGACTAGTCTGCGTTCCTCTTCCAACTGCCTAATTTCTTCTCTCTCTCTTTCTTTTTCGAGTTCCCGAATCCTGTGCCTTTCGCGTTCTTCCTTTTCTTTTTCTCGTTCCTTCTGCCTAACGATTTGCTCGGCGTTTACGTCGATCAAAATCTTAGGTTTGTACATTTCTTCTCTCTCCTTCAATAACTGATTTTATAAAAAAAATTAAAAAATTAATTTTTTTTTCTTCATTTGACATTTTATTGCCACATTTTTGAACTTTGAACCTACCTTTTCGTAAGCGGCTTTCGGATCTTCGTGATCCTCTTCCATAATTTTATTTTTAATTTCTTCTATTTCTTCTTTTTCCTTTTGCCTATCTTTATTATCCAATTCTTTTTCTCTTTCTCGTTCCGCTATTCTTCTAGTTAATTCCCTACCCCTTGGTAATAAAAAAAAAAAAAAATCATAAAATATATTTACATTATCTGAAGAACTTGGATCAACATAATTTATCATATTATCACGTACTTATAATATTTAGCATCGTCCCTTTCATCATCGTAATCTTCTAGAAATTCTTTTAATTTTTTCGCTTCTCTCTCCGTTTCTTCTTCCCTGTACCTTTCTCGATCTTTTTCCTTATCGAATTCTTTATTTTTCCGCCGTTCTCTAGATTCCCAGGCTCTAAGTCTTTCTTGGTAGGCAGCTTCTTTTTCTTTGGCTTTTTTTTCTTGTTTTTTCCTCTCTTTCAATTCTTCTTCTTCTTCCCGTTCTCGGGCCGTTGCTCTATCTAAGTCTCTTTTTGAATTTCTCTCTTTTTCCCGTTCTCTTTCTCTTTCGTTTCGCTCTCTTTCACGCTCTCTTTCTCTCGACCTTATTAAACAATAAGTATACAAAAGTTCCCTTAAGTTTTTTCTCTTGAAATTTAAAAAAAAAAAAAACTCAACAAACATCATCCTTACCTCGTTCTCGACCTTCTCCTTTTCAAATTGTTCCTATGTTTTACTCCCGGCGTCGGACTTTTTGTTCTCGACCTCGAGTGGGATAAAGATTTAGGCGTGGATCTTGATCGTCCTCTTTCCTGCTTCAGTCTATCCCTTTCTTTTTCCAACATCTCTCGCCTTTGTCTTTCTTCTTCTCTTTCAGCCTCTTGTTTCTGTAGACAATAAATGTAACTAGGCATTAAATCAACATGTCACCTCAATTTAAAACACAATTTAAAATTAATAAAATATCCTGTTGAAATATATTTTCGATTAAAAAAAAATAAATCAAAAAATAAATTCTATGTAATCATTTTTAAAAAGAAAAAAAAAATCTTTTTTCAACGAACATAATTCATAATGACCGTTTGGAAAAAATATAAACGTGAACATGGAAAACTTTTTTAATGGAGAATCGACATATTTAAATAAGAAATAATAACGATGACTGTATTAAAATTGAAAATGTGAAATAAGGTTTTTTAGAAAATGGCGATGACAAAAATTTTAGAATGACAATTTTGCTAGCGAATGACTTATAGCGAATTTTTCAAAAGCAATAAGTTTTAAGGTACGTATTCAAAAACTACTGATAATAAATTTTATAAACATTTCACACGACTTTGAACGCTTTTAAAAATTATAAAAAAGTTGCAACAAAATTTTACAAGTTTATTATAGAAATTAAATTTTGAGAAAATATTTTTAATGAAGAAATTAATACTTTGACTGACTTTGGACTCAACTCAGAAAGAAAACTCAAATTGAAATTAAAATTTAATTTTTTCAAAATTTGAAACAAATCGACCCATTTTGAAAAAGCTAAAATAAAACAAAATAAATAAAACGAAACGAACAAATAAATAAATAAGTTTTTTTTTTCATAATCCATTTACATAAAAAAAAAAAAATCAAAAAAAAAAAAAAAAATTGATTAAAGGAAAACATTTTAACTTACAGTTGACTCGCTCACTCTTCTTTTTATGTTACCTAAGCCATAATATATAAAACAATTTCAAAATAAAATAAACAACATGTATGTATAATATGCGTAAAAAATAATAATAATAATTAAAATAAAAATCATATCTTTGTGACTATTAAAATACAATTTTTCTCAAAAGTAAATCGTAGCTTTTATTTTGTGCTATAAAAAGTGCGAAAAAAAGTCTGAAAATAAATAATTACTTATTAAATTACTCATTACCCCTCCTTTTATTTTTCCCCCTTTAAAATTATTAAAATGATTATTAATACATTCAAAAAAAAAAAAAAAAAAAAAAATTAATTAATAAGATTTTGTTTCATTTACTTGACTGATTATTTATTTATTTATTTTTTTTTTAATTTCTATGAATGAAAAAACTAACACTAACGAAAACTTCAAACCTCAAATTTTCCCCTAAATTTAATTTTATAACGAAATTGTTCACTTAAAAAAAAAAAAATAAAATAAAAAAAAAGTAATAATAATAGTAGTAGTAGTAGTAGTAACGGTAGTAGTCGTAGTAGTAGAAAAATTTGCATAAACCTAATTTTAAAAAAAATACAATCGGAATATGCGACTCGTATATAAAAATTTATATTGTAAACTCACCTCGCCGAATCCTACACAGAATAGAAGATCAAAATTTAATTATAATTTTGTTGATAAATCAATAAAAACCTGAAAAAATCAGAACTGGGAAAACAAAAGTATTCAAAAGATAACATATTTTCTAACAAACGCACTCCTCTCAAATACGCACGCACGCACACACACGCACACACGCACGCATTCACGCATACACGCAAAAACGCATACATACGTACATACACGCTCGCACACACGCTTTTCTTTACGCTACTTACCGGTGGTAAATATGTACATTTATATATATATTTTATTAATAATTTTATTATTAACATATTTAAGGCCCAAAATTTTACACAAATACACAATACAATGTAACAATAATTTCTTTTTTTTTTTCTTTTTTTTTTTTTTTAAATCGTTTTAACTTCTAGTTTATTATTATTATTATACTTTTTTTAATGAAATCACAGAATCACAGCTAATAAATATATATATAGTATTATAAAAAAAAATTTTTTTTTTTTTTCTTTTTAGAAAGTAACCAGTGAAACATTAATTAATTTTTTATACACGTGGTTTTAGTATTTAAAAAAAAAAAAAAAAAAAAAGTAAAATTATTTATATGACGAAAGATCCTGTAAAGATTCACGTATTGTTAGTTTGTTATAAATAAATTTAAAAAAAAAGTTTGTCAAAAAATAATTAAATAAAAAAACCCTTAATCGAAACTTCATCATCATCATCATTATAATCATCATCATGCACCTCCTAATTAAATCCCTATAAATTAGTTACATGTATGTGTAGTGATAATAAAAAAAAATATATATTCAAATTACTAAGCTTATTCTAATCAAGGGCGAAAATGCCCCCCTTCATTGCTATAATAATAATAATAATGAAAAAAAAAAAAAAAATATTTGTCTAAATAATAATTTACTAATAAAGCATAGCACTTTATTATTGCGTCGCAATTCGACTGAACTTTAAACGAGATTTCTTGACAATAGAAAAAAATATTAAACTAAAATAGCACAGAAAAAGTTCAGATGAAGTATCAGTTATATCAAATATCTGAGACCTTCCAATTTTATATTTAATTTTTTTTATTTACAAAACGTCCAACGGACTCGATTCTAACATTTTTAATTCGTGAAAATTCTTACAACTTAAAATGTAATAATAAAATTTTTAAATAACATACATTGTTCGATACACAGTATTGTAAATAAAGTTTTACAAAAAAATATGGAAAATTGGAAAGTCTCAGTTGATACTCGATGGGAAAAATTGGATGACATTTTTTTTTTTACTCACCACCTGAGAGCGAGCGAAACAAAAAACAAGCGTGCCTCTGGAATTGGCCGCGATCGTCAGCTTCTCAGTCCTTCGACATCCTATGTTCAAGTGAGGAATTATACCAGAGTTTACAACAATTTCAGAGATATACAATAATTTCGTATTCAACTAACTTTTTATACTATTTAAAATTTTTATAAAAAAAAGGTTTTTTTTTTTTTTTTTTTTTTTTTTTCAATAATATTTTTATACTATTGTTTTTTTGTACTTTTTTTTTTTTGTTTTCTTCAATACGAAGAGAAGTTATCAAAATAAGCCTGCTTATATATATATACGTCATTCATAGGTATAATTTAATATTAAAAAAAAAAAAAAAAAAAAAAAATTATATGCAGGAGTGAGAAATAATATTTAAAAAATTTTAAATTCATAATTTCACGGAATTCTTCTCTTTGTACCGACACTAATTTGTTATTCAATTATCTGTAAAAGACGAAAGAAAAAAATATTGATTTCACGTACCTTCATTATTTCTCGAAATTTTCCTATTTCTCTCGTGATTATGTCTCGTTTGCCATCTTCTATATCGGCGTCCTTTAATGTCTGTAATGAAAATTTATGGAAAATTATTTTTAGAAAAATTTCTGCATTCGAATATGTACAAATAAGCAAAACTGATTAGTAATTTTATTCAGTCCTAATTTTCAATTATCAATGTCAAAAATAAAAATTTCTCTAATAAGTCGTAGATACTAAATTTGATTTTACAATTAGATTTTTTATAATATATTAAAATAATTTTCTTTTATCGAGAAAGCAATTATGTTCTTACCATGTTTTCAGTGTGTTCCTGACTTAATTTTTGTAATATTTCTTGAGTTCTCTGAGCCTTATTTTTATCAGGTAGATTTTGCTGAATTTCTGAAAAAATCAAAATTTGTTTTATACATTAATTAAAACTTTAAGTAGGTAAGCGTAATCGTTTAAAATAAATATATTTTTGTCACACATATTTAACAGCTTCAAAAATAATTCAAGTTAACTTGAAAATTAAATTATTAAAAGCCTTTCGATTTCATTTAAAATTAATAATAAACATTCTTCTCACCTTTTTTTAATTTTGCTTCCTCGTTTTTTTCTATTAGAGCATTATTCATTTCTTCTTTAAAATCATCAATAATGGTTATTATTTTTTCCCTGGCACCTAAATCCATTCTTTTCATATTATCATCTAAATAGTCTTCAATTTCTTCTCCTTCTTTCAACATGAGCTCTGGTTTTTTTTGTTTTTTTCTTTCTTCTTTTTTATAGTCATCTAATTGCACTTTAGTTTTGGCATCTACTTTAACTACTAATTTTTTACCCCCTACATTTAAATCATGTAGTAGTCTAACTGCTCGTAATGCTGATTCAGGGCTTCCAAATTCACAAAAGCCGAAACCTAAGTTTTTTATTCATTAAATTATTAATGTTTTACTTACATTAATAAAAAAAAATATAAAATTTATAATGTTACAATAACATTGAACTTCTTTAATGACACTTTAATAAATAAATAAATAAATAAAAAATGAACCTTGGATTCTTTTCCATGATATAACATGACCACAAGTACTAAGTATTTGTCTAATCATCATATCAGGTGCATGTTCAACTATATTACCAACAAAAACTGTGATAGGAGGTCCTGCCTCTGGAACTGTTCTTTTTATAGGCTGATAGCTGAATCTAGGTGCAGAAGTAGTATGCCCTGTTGTTACAGCTGTTGTAGTAGCTGTACCTGGTCTAAAAGGTCTCATTTGAGGAGGCATGGCAATTGATCCTGTAGATGAAATAATTTGCTGCAAAGAAATCGTAAAAGAGTAGAAGGTAAAATTTTATAACTAAAAAACTTGAAACAAAGCATTCACTTAAATGGCACTTTAAATTAATACTTACAGGGGGCATGGTCATAACTGGAGGCATTATTGGAGGCATATATCTAGGAATGCCTATAGCAGGAGGAATTGGAATTCCTGGCACAATAGGAGGCCTTCCTGGATAAGACATAACTACAGAACAAATAAAATTTACAATTCAATTAATTAAGGTTTTGTAGAATAAAAATAAATAGAATAATAATTTTGCTCTAACTATAGGCGTATCCTTTACTGATAAAATGACTTCGAGTTTTATGAAATAACTGAAAATAATAAATTAGCCTATGTGATATTTTTTATAAAAATGAAAAATTTGGAATCAAATGTATTAGGTACAAAAAAAATATACCATGTCGACCATGCCTAACCGAAAAATAATTAATGTAACTCCATGGTCATGTAGGTAGATATTAAAATATAAATTGGCTTTTGTTTACGAAAGTTATGAGTTACAGTAACTGAATTTTAACACAAATATATTATTTTCAACCAAAAACGTAAAATAAAACAAATTAATTTACCAATAAAAATATTAAACTGATCTTATAACACAAATTATCTCTAACTGCAAACTACAAACAAGTCGTTGTCTACCTCTAGAAATTTTATCCAATATGGCAGCACGCCTCAAAAAAAAAACGTGCCAACAGCCACGATAAGTTATGAAAGGCTACCATCTTTACAATATATCCACTCTTTTGTTTAGAAGTCTGAAAAGGCACTGATCGGGTGTAACCATGGGCGTTTGGAAATTTTTGTTTTTTAACTTTTAATTTTAATTTTTGAATGCTCTTATGATTTTTCAATGATTTTAAAACTTTCCGCGAATTCGGTAATGTGAATTATTTTAAGAGTGTTATTGATTTGTGAAATCGGGTTGACATTAAGATGAGGTAAGTTAATAACTTGTTTCATATTAATTTTGGGAACTTGCGTATGTAGTCCAGATCCAGACAAGGAGTCGACGCCTAAAAGTTTTTTTTTTTTTTATTACAGTCCGGTAAATTTTGTGTAGGCATTATTATTTTATTATGTATCACTCTTTCTTTATTCTGATAAATAATTATAATTCTGTATGCTTTTTATGCACTAATACTTGGTTTATCCAAATAAAGCCGGATATTTAAATTGATAAGAAGTGAAGCCAACCGAGACTTTTGCATGAATTACTTACATTTCGCGTATACTGTCAAAATTTTAGTGTTTTCTTTTTTATTTCACTTTTAGATTATTTTATTTTATTGTTTATTCCTTTTATATATGATAAATATTGCGAATTTTATTGGGAAATTACATTTAAACAAAGTATAATTACATTAATGGAAATATTTTAATGCATTAAATTAATGTAATTAAAACACTATAAAAATTATTTTTTATGAATACCATTTTTCATAATGCTTTTAAAAGATAATTTAGTATTGTTTATGAAAGCCTAAATAAGTATTCACAAAAATATTGAAATTTTAATATAATTGTCAATGAAAATTAAAATTAAACATTATTCATTACATGGCCACACATTGTTCTCGAAAGTATTGAGTTCTAATTAACAATAACTTAATTGATTTTGACTTTTTCATTTTCATTAGTATTTTATTTTCAACTTAAAACAGTTTTAACATTTTTCAAGTTATGTATTGCACTTTTTTGAATATTAAAATTTAAAAAAAAAAACAAAAAAATTTTAAGTTTTGGCAAATTTATTCGAGTAATGATCTTTTGTAACAATTATTTGATAGTATTTAACTTTTGAAATCTAATTTTATAAAAAATGCATTTATAATTAAATTGACATTAATTTAATGTATATTTTATAAAATAGTTTTGATGCTTTACAAAATTTATTTTAAAAATTAATCGAAAATTTAAATTTGGTTTTCAATTTTTTGAGTTCAATTAACGAATTTGTTACATAAGTTTAATATAAGATTTTAATAATTTATATGAGTATAGCTTATAAATTTGTGTGTGTGCGTGTGTGTGTGTGTGTCTTTGTGTGTTTTTATAAAATTGTGTTGAAATTGATATAAACAAATTTTTAAATTTTTTTTATTGAATTGATGGCGTTATATTAAATTAAATCTCAAAGGTATATATTTTCTCATGGGGGATTCAATTACATGCGGTTGTTGACTTTAAGAAAAATAAAGTAAACAAATAAAATCTATTTTCGTTTTTATAAATAAAAAGTCGTGTTTTTTTTTTTTTTTTTTTTTTTCAAAAATTTACTAATGAAATAATTAGGAATTAAATTCGTATAAGAAAAAGAAAAAAAAACTCATAAATAAAGAATAAATTGTCAAAAATTAAATACATTTAAAAAAACGTGATCTCATTAGTATACATAATAAATTGTAAATGCAATTAAAAATGTGTAAATTTTAAATTTTCTCGTTCTCTGACACGTTGAAAACATTTTATTATGTTTTCCTTCTGTTTTTTTTTTAGTTGCAATTTTCTTCTATTTTTAATTTAATTTTCATAACTTATTGATTTTTTTTTGATTTTTTTTTACTTTTTAATTCTCCTTTTTCTTTTTGTAATTAATAGCTTTCTACTATAATGTTAAAGCATAAAAAATGAGTAATGAGTTTTTATAATTTTTACCGAAAGTTTTATAATTTTGCTGTCGTAAAACATAAAAAAAAAGTAAACGTCAAATAATGCGTGCATGTTGTTAAGAAAATTATAATCTATAAAACGCGGTTTTTCATCCGTCTTGAATTTTTTTTATTTAAAAAAAAAAAAAAAAAAATTTAATTGGTAATTTTTTTTTAGCGTAGGCATCGTTTGGGTTTCACAGATGAATTTTTTTTTTTTTTTAAATGACAATAATAATAATAATAATAATGAAGGGCAGACAACGACGAGTGGGCAATTTTTTCCTATTGGTTAATAGCGTAACAAACATAAACAAAAAACATAATTTGTTACAACTATAAGAGAGCGCAAATAATAATAATAATAATAATAATAATAATAATAAAAGTCGGGTTGTTGTTGTTGTTCTTCCTTATGACGTTGCTGACAAAGTAGATTTCAATGATTCTTCATTTTTTTTTTGTCCTAATAATTAGAAAGTTTTTTTTTGCGATTTGCTATTGCATTATTTGTATTATTCAATCATTTAGGCTCACGTAAATACCTTTAATAATTTTTTTTTTAGGTCAGTTTTAAATGCAAAAGTTTTAAATTATGAAAAGTTTTATATAAGAAAAATTTCAACTTTTTTTTTTTTGTTTCGATTTTTAAAAAAAATTGAAAGAAAATTTTTTTTCGTATCGTCGTAAATAAACATTATTATTATTATTATTACTATTTTCAAAAACGATGACTGTGTTACCTTATCACAAAATTCAAAAAAAAAAATAAATTCGGTTTAATGGCGTTGCGGTGATTTTATCAAATCAAATTGTTATATAAAATTTACGTCATAAAATTTATGTTTTGTCATTATTATTATTATTATTATTATTATTATTATTATTATTATTATTATTATCATTGTTGTTGTTGTTATTATTATTAATTTTATTCATGTATAATTTAATTTATTCGAAAATTGGTGACCGGTTTTTTTTGTATTTTTTCTTCTCGTCGTCTTTTATTCTAATCGAAATTATATATATTAATTTTTTTTTAAATGTTTATATTCTGCGTAAATTATTTATAAATAAGTTGTTGTTGTGATAGATAGCGACTGGTTTTTTTATTTCTCAATAAGTTATCATCAAATAGAAATCAATGTTAGTCACGTAACGCCTTGACACACCCTGATGAAATAGTCTTGAAAAAATAATTTTTTTTAAAAAAAAAGTAAAGGAATAAATTTTGTAGACTTTGTCATCTTTTTTTTTTTTTTAGTAGACTTAACGTTTATCTATTTACTTCTGGTTATTTTGTTTTTTATTTTCGTAATGATGCTGTAAAAAGAAATTTTTTTTTCTATCTATCTTTCTTTCTTTCTTTTTTTCTTTCTGTTCATTTTACGATGAAATTTTATTTGTTTAATTCTTTGGAAATTTCTGTGACGCATATACTATTAGTAATATCGATCCCTTTGAAGCACCTAAAAAAACTTTTTTTTTTTGCCTTTGAAATAGTTTCATTCATTATATACAATGCGTTGATTGTTGACCGGAAATTCCCGGAATAATTCAAGCGATTTTTGAATTTTTTTTTTCATTTTTTTTTTAATCTTTTTAAATTTGTCATCATCCCCCCCACCTCATGTGAGTGCATATGTTGTAGAAATAATCGAGGGCCGAACGATTTGATTTATATTTGTGAATATATTGTATATTCTAAATTATTTGCGTTGGAACTAGCGTGTGTTCGACTTGGGGTTTGTCCGACCTTTATCAATATGTTATGTGACAATGAGAAATTAAGTACTTGCCTTCTGGAATTTATGTTGGAAAAGAGCATCAATAATGCTCATTAAGTAAATTAATTAATTAACTCTTTCGCTCATTACACGTTTCACAATATTGAAAAAAAAATTTTTTATTTGTTGTTGTTGTTTTTTTATTATTATTTATTTATTTAATTACATTTGCCTTTGTACCTTGATATTTGTCTTTTTTATCTTTTATCATCGTTATTATTATTGCTATCTGGTTAAATTGAAATCTTGCTCATTTTTTTTTTATGTATACAATATTACGTAGGAGCAATTGTTTTACTTACGTTTCGTCATACAATTTAAACTTTTGTTATTAAAAAATAAAACAAAAAAAAAGTCATCTAGTTTTTTGAAAAATTTGAGAAAAATAAAAAGAAAAAAATTTTCTCATACTAATTAGACGAAAAAATATTTTTGTTGTTGGTAATAACGGTGGAAGGGAAGAAAAAAAAAAGTGAGAAGTCTAATCAAACGTTTAAAGATTCTCGTCTACTGTCGAACAATAACAATTTGAAAACTTCTTCGTCCATAATTATTAGGAATTTTCAGGTGCAAACTAATCAACCTTCTATAAATAGTTTTCGTAGTCCGGAGTCGTCGTCTGGTTTTCTTTACATTCACGAGAAATTTAATTGTTTTGGCAGAGTCAATGTCAGTTCATGTGGAAACAAATGATTTGAGAGAGAGAGAGAGAGAGACAGAGACAAAAAGAGAGTAAAAGA